TCATCACACAAGTCTATTGGATTTTGTTGTTTATTTATCTGATTAGGTAAGTCTTCATGGGATGGATTATCACTTGATCGTGCTGGAGTACTTCCAATGCTCGGTGTGGATGTATAATGCTGTAATCCAGACATCTGAAAATAGAAAGAGGATAGTCGTTACAACCTTAAATTTACATTCCAGGTCAGCAACAATATCTTTTTAGGCCTCAAGTAGAGGAACACCGTTTGGAAAACTGGCATCAAAGGTTCTCTTTCCTCAAATTATGTGTTTCTAATTGAATATAAATGGACTTGTTGAAGTTTTTGATAAAATTTACCCTTTCACGAACATTATTTCAGTGGATAGTACCAAAGAATTGATTGGAACCTTCAACCCTCAATCACAACCTTATACATATGAGATGCTCGAGGAGACAACCCCGTTTGGCATATTTGCTAGAGGACCATATTCAGCTAAAACACAGGTGCAATCATTGTTCTCTTATTATCTTTAATTCTTTATAACAAATTGTCTTCGACCTTTTATATCAGAAACTTAAGTAATATGCAACTATTTGCAATCCCATAGTTACTTCCAAGAAAGTTAATTTGTTAATATAGAAGAACTCAATCTCTATGGAGACAATAATTGTATTGAGAAATAGAGAGACAGAGATTAAGTAATTTGTCCCATGCAAAAAGTTTACTGTACCAACATTCTAACCTAGAGAAGATAGCATGGAGATTGGAGAAGATGAAGGGCTTGAGTTATTGTCAAATTACCTAGGTCAGACTTGAACGAAAGTGAGAGACAACGAGAGTGATTGAGACTCTACGTGGCCGGTGGGCGGTGACGTGAAGAAGTCACGGTAACTGCAAGTCGGCAACACTAATCACTAAATGATGGCAGATGGGTAACATGGCTGCTGTAGGTTTTATTTACTGCCTTATGGCTTAGTGGGAAACTAAAGTTTAGGAAGTGGGCCACTTAGGAGTTACAATTACAAATGATGTTGGGCTTGGCAGTTGGCATCTTTAACTTCTTCTTTTTTAGTTTTAATTTTTAAAGATTAAACGGGGCGGGTGTGGGGCGGGTGCCTTGTTACCCGTCCCCGCCCCATACCTTAGTCGGGTCTAAGTCTCCCATTCCATACCCAACCCGTTACCTAATTAAGCGCGTATTACCTGCCCCATTTGGGGCGAGGCCCCGTTGATTTAGGGTTTAATGAGTTTTTTGGCCATCCCTAGCTATTTGTTGTTTTGGGCCGTTAGGTCATTGTGAATGACAATTAAAAGATTTGTAAAAACGAGAATCTAATTTTAGAGTCGGATATTCATAATTCTTGTTCAAGTGATCAGTTCATTATTGATTGTGGCTCTTAAATTTTTTTGGGAATCTGATTGGGACCTCCATTTTCGGTTTGATTTCGGTTTAGGAAGTTCAATTCGATTTAAATGTTCACCTCTAATTTAAACTGCTTTTGGATTTTGTATTATGGCCTTTAAAGTTTGAAGATAACATACATAACATAACTGAATTTGAGAAGGAACTTTAGACAATCCTATGCAATGCGATGGTTCATGCCTTTTATAGGAATCTAGTAAATTGTATCTCAAAGCCAATTATAGTCATTTGTACACAGCACAAAGGATGACTTCAATACTTTACACTTGTAAACTCGACAAGATTTTGTTGGCTCCTATCTAGTGTTTGAAAGCTAAGGAAATTCATGATATAAGGGTGTTCATGACGTAAATTTCGATGAACAACCATCTTAATTGTAAACAACTCCATTTACTTCTAGTAGAGAGGTTAACTGTGGAAAGAATTGATTAGATGGGAGGAATTATGATTTTGAAATTTGAAAATGATCTTCCTTCAAAATTTGTTTGTGCAATTGGATTTGATGAAAAGTAAATTCTTTAAGGTAAAAACTACGTAACTTGCCATCGAGTAGAATTGTCATGTTATTATATGTAAGATGAGGTAAATGTGCGTACAGATAATAGATGCCAAAAACATATAAAGAGCAACAAAACATTTAATTCTGGTTGAAAGGTTGACCACAGGAGCAGAAATCTCTCCGATGAGCCTGTGAGGTCCAAGGCAAACCACTTGAGGAAAGGGATTCATTAAGGTGGTTCGCCCATGCAAGAGAGAGAGCCCTGAGTAGTGGGACACATGGTGAACTTGTTTCTTAGAACAAGCTTAATATTCTTAGTGCTATGTGGCGAGTGGATCTTGTCCCGTGTATAAATACCGTCATAAAAGGGAACATGATCGAACAGATTAATTTTTTGTCATAAAAATCGAGCCAATAAATGGTACATACGTGTCCAAAAGGTAAGAAATGTGTGGAATGCCATTCATTCTAGTTTCCCTATAAAAACTCCATGCAGGTTGGAGACAAAGGTATGCAATGTTTAATATTTGTCAAAATTTTGTCCATTTATCTCTTCCACGTCTAAACTATCTTTTTTGACTGTTGGCTTAATTGTTGGAGCCATACCTTTCATTGGAAAGAGGCATTTGCATTCTAACGGGTTCAAAGTGTGCGGGTATAGATCGATTGGAAGGTGATCAGAGATCAGTTTACAGCTTAATCAGTCCAATATTGAACTCAACAACTCCCTCAATTTTTTTGTGTAAAAATAAAAGTCTAGAAG